GTGGATGTACAGGTGGGGCATGTGGATGTACAGGTGGATGTACAGGTGGGGCATGTGGATGTACAGATGGGATGTGTGGATGCACAGGTGGGGCATGTGGATGCACAGGTGGGGTGGGTGGATGCACAGGTGGGGCATGTGGATGTATAGGTGGGGCGCATGGATGTACAGGTGGGGCACGTGGATGTACAGGTGGGGTGCAGGGCTGTACAGGTGGGGGCAGGAGCAGAGCCAAGGATCCAGAAGGTTCTGATTAGACTCAGAAGTGGCTGCACAGTTCCAGAGGTGCAGCGTTTCCTCCCACTGCTGAAACAGGGTTGCACACAAAGTTTGCAAGGCCATTTACCACAGGCACACATGAGAGCACAGCTGGGGAACAGATATCCAGCGGCAGGGCTGCCTAAACCCAGACAGCGCACCCGCCAGCGGAGCCGCTGAGCCGGGAAGAGCGTTTGATGACGCGGACAACACTCCCAAGACACTTCAAGAAGTGGCACCCACTCGATTCTGTCTAACAAATTAGAATATATAAGTACCTACACACAGGCACGCCCACACACACCAGCATACACACACAATAAAGAGCAAACGGTATGACTTCTGGGAGATTCCAGAGGAATTATTTTCTTCTCTTTCGTTATGTTTTTTAATGAATTGTGTGTTCCCAAAATACGTGTTGAAGTCCAAACACCTGTACGTGTAAATATGACCTTGTTTGGAAACAGGGTTTTCTTTTGTCATGTTAATGAGGTCATACCAGAGTAGGGTAGGGTGGGTCCCAAACCTAATCACTTCTGAGGAATGTCCTATAAAAAGGAAGACTAGACAGAGACACACAGGGGAAGACAGACGCCAAGGAAGACCACCGAACTGCCGAGGCTACTGACAAGGAAGGACCCTCCCCTGAAGCTTACACCCTGATTTGGACTTCGGTTCTCCGAAACCGTGAGATAGCAGTAAATGCTGTTCTTTAAACCCACCCATTGTGGTGTTTTTGTTACGGCAGCTCCAGGAAACTAAGCCACATATGTTTTGCAGCTTTTCTACGACGGACATAACGTGTTTGCTCGTTTGCTTGAACCAGAGCACAAACCACATTGTAGTTAGCTGCCGTCAAGCTGATTCTGACTTGTGGCAACCCCGTGTGTGCAGCGAAGAACTGCTTCATAGGGTTTTCAAAGCTGTAACTTTTGGAAACAGATCGCCAGGCCCATCTCCTAAGGCACCTCTAGGTGGGTTCGAACCACCAACCTTTTGGCTAGTAGTCGAGCACTT